CATTTTCATCAGGTAGAGGGCCAGAGTGTAGTTGTTACTATTTGTTCAGAACGGGAAGTCACTTAAAGTGATACTCAGTTGATTCAATACTTCATAAAATAGAATTCTTTTTTTTAAAAAAAATATTTTTATTGATTTCAGAGAGGAAGGGAGAGGGAGAGAGAGATAGAAACATCAATGATGAGAGAGAATCGTGGATTGGCTGCCTCCTGCACGCCCCCTACTGGGAATAGAGCCCACAACCAGGGCATGTGCCCTTGACCAGAATTGAACTTGGGACCCTTCAGTTCACAGGTTGATGCTCTATCCACTGATACAAACCAGCTGGGGCTGAAATAGAATTTTTAAAAGAGATTTCTTTGTAAAGGTTTTGGTAATTAAATAAAACGAACTATTTTAGAATCTTGATTAGTCTGAATAACTAAAAGAGCCCCATTGATAGCAAATATGGTGAGGTTGGCCCTGGCCAGTATAGCTAGATTGGTTGGAGTGTCATCCCATGTACCAAAGGGTCATGGGTTCGACTTTTGGTCAGGGCATATACCCAGGTTTGAGGTTTGATCCCTGGTCGGGGCATGTAAGGGAGGCAATGGATCAATGTTTCTTTCTCTCTCTTTCCTTCTCCCTTCCTCTATCTCTCAAATCAATTAAATAAAATATTAGAGAAAAAAAGATGAGGTTTTATCATGGGTGAGGCCACAACCTCCAAGTAAGCAAAATTATTTAAAATCCACACGTAGAAAAGGACACTGATTACTCATGGAATGTGTGAAATTATATTTGTGCTGTTTCATGATCAATGTTTATTTCTGAAAACGGTTTAAAAATGCACTAAAATGTTTGGGATTGTCTGACCCATAGCTCTCAAACACGAGTTCACAATCACATACACAAGTTCAATAAAACCCAGAAAGCTGTGTTCAAATGAAAGTTTTAATAAAGTATTAAGAACCAGGCTTTTAAAAGGACAGCCTAATAGTGACATCTCTAAAGTGGATGCAAGTTTCCCATTGAAACATGTATCAAGCAGAATAATCCCCAAAGTCAGTCTCCCTGCAAGGTTCCTAGGCTGATGCAGGTGTTGACAAGCAGCATGCTGTGGTAAGCAGCATGTGCCAGCCGGTCCTTTATCATACAACTCCAGTTATTACAGGTGTATATGGAAGCCTATTCCTTCTTCTAATTAGCATTTTACAACATGGATGACAACATAGGCTGAATGGAATGGCTCCTGGCACCTCTGGAAATGCTGGTTAAAAAGGATCTGGCAATGTCTGAATACCCATGGTCTTCCCTCTATCCAACAGGTGGAGTAACTAAGTCACAGACCCCATTAGGAAATCATTGAGTTCTCCTAGGACAGTGATGGCGAAACTTTTGAGCTCGGCGTGTCAGCATTTTGAAAAACCCTAACTTAACTCTGGTGCCGTGTCACATATAGAAATTTTTTGATCTTTGCAACCATAGCAAAACAAAGATTTATATTTTTGATATTTATTTTATATATTTAAATGCCATTTAACAAAGAAAAATCAACCAAAAAAATGAGTTCGCGTGTCATAGGCTCGCCATCACTGTCCTAGGATGTCACCCACAGAGAACTCTCTAATTTCATCTGCCCAGGTACCATAAAACTGCAACCCAGTGAACTCATATGGATGGCCTGATAGGTTGGTCACAGATGGTACTGCACAGGCAAGTCCGAAATTGCTTTCCGTAAATGCCACCTAGATTTTCAGGCCCAGACCCACCCACAGTTCAATTCTCCTGACTCAAGTGATGCTCAGCCAAGTGGTGATCAGGAAAAATCATCTCTGCATGGGAGGACTCAAAAGAATTTGTCACTAGGATACAGTGACACCGATCCCACATTTTGTGGTTAATAAAACAAGTCCTGCATCCAGCTTGGCACCAGGCCCTGATCTAATTTACTTCAAGCCAAGCGGGAGGGCTTACAGAAAAAGCTGCCATTCATGAAGACTTCAAGATAGGCCACCAGGGTCCCTTGTAGCAAAATTCACATGGGCCAGAAATCTCTCTGACTGACCCTTTGAGCAAACGTAGCCGATTTCCTGAAGAGTTGTATTCTCTTAAAAAAAAAAAAAAGTAATAGTTTTGCCTACAAAATCTCAGTCTTCCTGGAAAATTTTCTCCAAAAAGGTGTCCTGTGAGTAACAAAAGGGGGGGTGGTGCAGGGAAAATAAATGCTCGGATGTATGATTTAACCATCTCAAACATCAAAAGCTTGGTGTGGTCCTCTCCCCGCCCCCTCTCCTCCCCTAATGTAACCAAATATGAGACAAGTAGGACTTTCCCAGGGAAGTCTACATACAGCCTTCATTTAAGATTTCCTGCCCCAGCACATAATTAGGAATTTTCATTCTAAAATGGCACACCTATTTCCTCAGAGAGTTCTGCTATCTTTGAATAAAAAAGGCTAGGTGCCCTTTGGGGCGACTCAGTGTATATTTTTAAACTTCTTATTATACCAACCTAATTTATGGGGCATGTTTAAGAAAACCAGGTAAGGAGTTGATTTGGCAGATGCAAAGTTAATCGGCAGACTCTAGCATACCACCCGCTTTCTTCTCGCTCCTCCCGGAGCCTTCCGAATACCTTCGGCCCCCTAGGAAGCAGCTCGGCTCTCTCCGCCAGGCCCCCGACTCGGTGCCGAACATCAACGAGTCCCTCCGAGCCCCGCACCCAGTCGGCGCCGAGCCTTGCCGAGCACTGCCGAGCTGAGCCCCATCGACTTTTCCGGCCTCGGCTGGGCGCTGTCCACCACTTGCAACGCCTGAAACATCACCTCGCTCCTGCAGCTGGTGGCCCGGGCTTCTACAGGACTCTGAGCCCGCCACTGCCGATTACCGTCTTCTGAACTTTTAAAATACCCCCCTTGGCGAGAAAGGGGTGGCTCTGTTTGCACTGACCGACCCGCGAGGGCTCCCGGTAGATGCAACATGCACCTGGTTGCAAAGAGCAATTCCCCAGGCCCCGCCTCCCCATCCATTTGTGTTGCAAAAGCCCCAGAGAAGCCCCAGGCCAAATTACCCGTGACTCAGAGGGGTGCGGCGAGCCGAGGGGGCCTTTGCACAGAAAGTCCCAGGGGCCTCCCGAACAAAAATAAGAACACGTCAAGCAGACGGGGAAAATTGTCTCCAAGTCGCTACTCCCTACCATCATGGCGCCGCCTAGAACCCGCTTGTCATGCCTGTTACACATGCAAGAATTTTTGCATCTTGTTTCTGAAACCGCAAGCACGCTTCGTCTCCCACCCACCTTTCCACGAAAGGGGTTTTTATTTTCCCTTGTTTTCCAAACGGGGTGCAATTACTTCGGCTATTCTGTCAGGTTGAAAAATAATCATTTTTGTTTACTGCACAGCAACCCCTAATTAGGAGCTGGGTGTGCACGAAGGTGTCACAGCAAAGAGACGTGGAATCCTCGCTAAATGGTCTTAACGAACCCCTCCATCCGGAACTGACAGGTCAACGGAAGCAGGAGGGTGCACCCCTTCCCTGCAGGCCACCCCCCTCCCCAAGCAACCTGCCTGTGGGTTCAAACGGCCAGGGATGGGGCAAGAAGCAAGCCCGAGAGTGGGAAGGAGGGGCGAGGCTCCTTGCTGAGAAAGTGGGGAAGGGAAGGAATATCCCATTTTGTTTTAATTTTCCACCATCACTCAAATCCACCCCCAGTTAATTAAGGAGGGGAAACTGATAGCTGAGGCAGAAGGGGGCGGTGGCAAGTGGGACCTGAAGTCCGCATTGTGGGTAGATTACACGGAACACGGCTGATGCAGACTGTAAATAAATACACTGATAAAGGCCATAGCGTGAAGGAAAGCTGCCAGTGTTAGGACAGCAAACGCGGGGAGAGTGGGTGAAGGTGGGGGGCAGCAAGGGGCGGGCATTCAGCCTCGCAGCCCTCCTCCCCTTTCCATCTCGGCCTTAGATCCCAGTGCCAGCACATCCACTTGGACACGCACCCCTCCCCTGCCACACACCCCTTCGCCTATCCCTCATTCTCTTTTCTTGGGGGAAGGAGGGGGGGGGGCGCAGAAACCACAGCCTCCCAATTCAGCACCAAATCCACGAACAGCAAACATTTGATCCTCCACCCCAGCAATCTAGGGCTGGGTCCCCTTCATGTTTTAGCCAAGTTCAAAATCACTGCCCCAGGAGAAGAGCTGGGGAGATGGGATTATGGATGTAGAGTGGGGGGTCGGGGAGTAGGGGGTGGAGGGGGAGGAGTGAGAAACAGAAGGAAACAGAGACATAGAGACAGAAATGGAGGCAGTGATACACACGAAACACCCCACAAGCAAGAGTAATGATCATAACCATGCCAATAGTGTGATGTCCTGATCAATATGGCGGACACTGTCATTCATACAACTACAAGCTCTCCCTGTCTCCCCCTCCCAAGAATAAACCACCCACCCAGGCAGTTGGGGCGAGGGACCCAGAACCAAGGGAGGGAGTGGGGGAAGGGAGTCAAATCCAGGTGTGTGTGTGTGTGTACACGAATCAAAAACCGGGCCTGGAGAGCAATGTGGAGTGAGCAAGGTAATACCAAAGATAAAAAATAATTCTTAATAAAAGTACCAGTGCCACAGGGACTTACTTCATCTGCTTCACAATGGTGCTTTTTCCTGATTCTCCAGCCCCTGTTGGGACAGAC